CGACAACAATAGTCGAGGACTATGTTACGACTGGCACAAGTCCTGTCCGTGATTTGTTTGTCTTCTTTTCAGGCAACAGAAAGAAATAGCGTGGCAGGGTGGAGGAAGTGGAGGGGGGAGAAGAGGCTCCCAACCAGGTAAGTGTATTTTATTTGTTTTTATTTTTAAGATCCATTTTATACGTGGTTGGAATGTTTAACACAACAGCTCGAGGATAGGTAAAGCGCAGCATCCATTTAAAAGCGTGTTGCTGTGGGCGAGAGATAAGATGGCGGAGTTAATAATTGGTCGCTGCCGTCTGGGTTTGAATCCGAGGTCTCCAGACGGCTTGGCTGCCTGTTGAGCTGTCCGGTCACGCGCCCCCCATCGCACAACATCCAGCCGGGACAGCCTGCTTTGGAGGACGTACAAGGTGAATATGGTATATTAAAAAGGAGATAAATTGTGAAACAAGATTTTGGAGTAAGTTGCTCTGTTGTATTTTGGTTTTAATAACACAGAAACATGCCAGGGCTGGGCCCGGCCCGGGCCCGGCCCGACACCACCGGGTAAAATAAATCAATAACTGGCCACCTGGGTTACCCGGAGGGGCAATCCAAGGTGAGTGGCAAAAATCAGGAAATGGTTCATGCAAAAATTCATAAAATAAATTAGTTAAATAAAATGTGATTATTTACACACAAGACAATAAGTTTGTCATAAAAACTAATAAAAAGGTGCTGAATAGTAAATACAAATATTCAATCAATAACTCCTGCTAAAAAATAATGATAAAATAATAAATAGTAATAAGGCAAACAAATAAGTGCTACATGATAAAATCCACGTTATTCAATGAACAAGCCATGCTAAAGACAGATCATAAAAAAACATGATCAATAATAAGTGCTTTAAAATCTGGACTGGACCTTCCGCAGGAGCCCGGAGATTCCTGGGGGTCAAAAAAAGTGCTAAAACCCGGTGTAAAAGGATAAAAGGTTCGGTTTGTTTGTAAAAAAACAATTAGAAGAGTTCAACTTCATATGTTTGGTTCAGACCAGTGGGATTGATTGTTTGTAATTGTACAATCCACTATCTTTCTTTTGCTTGACGTTGTCTTAGCGACCAGTTCGGACCACTTTCTAAAACCATGTATTGGATGTTGTCCCCTCTATGTTCCAGGAGGTGCTGGTTTAGGGTGGTGGACCTGTCCTGTTCACTGATCAGGTAGGTGTTAGGGTTAGGGTTAGACAGGACACTAACCCTAACAGGACATTGCGTTGCATAAATTATGTTCGGCGTGTCAGTGGTGGATTTCTGGTACACAGGTGCTCCTCGGCCGGCTAAGTGATGTTGATGTAATTAATGTTATTCTTTCTTCTGATTGGATCTTTGTCCAGGGCTGTGTGTACCAGAATATCGTTGAGGTTTCTATTGCGTTTGTATGCTATGATCATCCTTTAGTCTTTAAGGGACGGATCCAGGGCTTGTGTTTGCTGGAAGTTATTTTTCAACATTGAATTGAGAGATTTTATTTGTTCTGAGTTATAAATGGTACGATTCGGTTGTTTCTGTTTTACTGCTGTAAGTGGTGGAAGTTTGGAATATTGTCCTGACTTGGTTTTGACCTGCCTGCCCAGTGCCGAAGAACCTCCAGAGCCGTGTGATCGGTCCAATGGACCGGGTCTTTGGGGTTTACCTCGAATTTAAGTGTGTCCACTTTCTCCAGATAATTACATTTCTGTCTAATTTTGTTGTTTAATTGTTTAATTAGTTCTTTCTGATGTGGAGGCAGAAGTTCATAAACGCTACATAGATGGTTGCCATGGGAACGGTTGTGGAACAGGTGTAGACTCACCGCTGTAGCTGTCTACTGGCTGTAATGAGATGTTGCTCTCTTAGACAGTTGTTCAGGCCAATTGACAGAACCACCTTCTGGACCTGAGGGTAAAGGGTTCAGTTCTGTATCACAGATTGAAGGTGCAAACAAGTGGCCCCGGAAAGCTGTCCACCTGGACCTGGTCCACCTGGTATTCTGGGATTCTAGCCAGGTTAGTTTCCAAGAATTAAAATTGGCTTTCTCACTTTTAGGAACCAGTCCTGGACCTTTCTACTGGTGTGTGGATGTATTGTCGGTTCTGAACTGATCTTGGCCGTCTTTTACAGGGTTCTAGACGGCTGGGAACCGGGATGACAGAGAGACCTCATGAACACCTGAGTGCTCCATGTTGTCTGGTCGGGTCCCTGTTATCTGCTCCGGCTCGCAATCACCTTCAGGTTCTGTTGAGCTGCCTTGATTAGGGACGGTGAGGACAGTTAGGGTTAGGGTGGGTTCGGACGGGTTTGGGTTCGGACGGGTTTGGGTTAGGGTGGGTTTGGACGGGTTCGGGTTAGGGTTAGGGCGGTGAGCAGTGAGACCAGCACCCACCAGTCGGAGCATCCAGGGGCGCCCCCTGCAGGTGGCGAAGCAGCCGTACAGGCCAAACAGCACGATGGCGGCTCCGGTACCGCTGAGGACGAAGGGAGCGTTGGACGGGCCGCTGGAGATCAGCAGCGTGTACGGACCCAACATGAACTTCCACCACAATCCCACCGACAGCAGAACCACGCCTGTCACCTGAGGGGGCGGAGCCACAGGGAGGGTTACAGGTGAAAGTTGAAAATTCTTCTGGAAGGTTCTGAACACATGAACGCAACAGCAGTGGTTCTGACCTGCGTCACTGCTCAGTTGAAAAGCAGACGATCAGAAACAAACGCTGTTGACGTGAAAGATCCGGATCTTCATTCTGATTCGTGAAAATAAATGTAAATAAAACGGCACCGACCCGTTCCGACTGGACTGGACCTCAGAGACGGCCAGTGTCTCATGACTCTAACAGCAGATGACAACAGAAGCTCAGACCAACAATGGACCCAGTCGGATGACTCTGGTTCCAGAACCAATGGAACCAAACTGGAATGAGTGGCTTCAATTAGAACATCTCTACAGTAGTCCTGGACCAGAACCAGAACCTGGACACAAACCGG